ATGAACTATTGATTAATATGCAAATTAGTGAAGACAAATGTTTGGAAGTCCAAAAGAAACAAAAGATAGACAAGTCAAGACAAGGTTGATGCAAATTAGTGAAGAAGCTCCTGTTGTTTCAGAATAGGAGCTTCAGTGTTGTCTGTCCTTGGGGCCAAGAGCGCCAAATCCCAAGTGCCAATTTTTCTTTCTGCAAAATTGCAGATTGTATAAATTTTTCTTCTGCAATCTTGAAAATCTATCTGCAGATTGCAGACTGCAGACAGGTATTTTGAACACTGCCCTATGCCATAATTTTGACCCCTATGCTGTCTTTCAAACAGCATAGGGGTGTTTTGGGAGGGAAAACCTTCATAAATCTTGCAGAAAATGAACATATAACTTTAAAATGAAGCTATAGCAAAGGGAAAACCTTAACTTCTCAAAACCTGTTCTTCATTGAACAAGAAATAGTGTCTCAGGGGGTTATGAGGTTCAAACTATTTTGGCTCAATGCGTGATTTGCGCCATGAAAGTTGCTCTCCTGTATCTGAACACTGGCTAGAACACTGTCTGGGCCCTCTAAGCATGTTATGGGTCTGGCATCCATGCTTTATGATCCAGGCATTGACTTAATATTAGCAGGCAGGACTGATGACTGTGGACTGGTAAGGCTACTCTCATCTGCCGAATAAACATACAGGTACGTTTATTTTTTGGGCCCTAACATCCACCCTAGTACGTTCTTATTTTGTCTACAGTACGTTTATTAATTTTTTGAAAACCAGTAATTTTTTTCAACTTCGTGTGAAAAAAATTGACAAATCATCGACGTGAAGACGTTTATAAACACGTATTGTAGCGAGAAACTTGTCATTTTCGGGCCGGTTTTTGCAATCACCGCGTGCATAAATTCGTCTGAATGTTCTATTGTCATGGGTGGTGCTTATCAAAATACGAAATATTAAATGCCCCTTTTTTTGTCTATTTCAATTCCTAATTGCAAATAACAGTTAAAGATTTGTGCATATATCAGTAAGGGCGCATTTTAGTACAAGAGACACAGGTTACCCGTCAATTTTGGTAATTTTCCGGGGGGTACGTTTATTCCGGGGGTATGTTTATTTGATTTTGAAGATTTTGTCCGGGGGGGGTACGTTTATTCCGGGGGGTATGTTTATTCGGCAGATGAGAGTAATGCAACTGCAAGAAGTCAAACACTAATTTATTGCACACATCTCATAATACTCACGGGAACCCGTATGGGTTTGTTTGGTAGTTTCTTGGGATGCACAAACGAAGCAATGTTTCAGTAAATGCTTAAAAGTTTGATATCATAATAATGGTAGATGACATTATTAGAAAATGCAGGGCTCGAAATACTGGGTGCATGTGCACCTTAGTGCACCCAAATTTAGAGCTGTGCACCCATTTTTTTTTCTGTGGGTGCACCAGTGCACCCAAATATTTTCTTACTATGTTAACGTATGTAAAGATGTCAAATGTATAATACTTACAGCATATTCTTAACATCTAAGTGTCAGAAAAAATAATACAATCATAATTGTTATAGTACTTTTCTTGGAATGAAACAATAGTTTTTGCTGAAATTCTACTTATTTTATCTTATATGGTGCACCTAAAATATCTTTTGTGCACCCATGGCCAATTTTTAGGTTGGGTGCACCAGTGCATGCACCTATTCCCAAAAATGAATTTCGAGCCCTGCAATGTCTTCAGGTATTCATGCTTATTTTTTGCAGGCATCAATACTCTAGTAGTATTTATGACAATTTCTGAAAAAAAATGCTAAGGCCACACCAATTTAATTTGTTGGTTCTCGGATTCACCTCTTCATTTTTTCCTGATTTGCAAAAAAAAAAAAAAAAATTACAGAATCAACTGCAAAATGCTCATATTTTGCCCTGAATAGTTGAAAACAGTCCTTTTCTTCCTAGTCGTTACAGTTATTCCATCTTTCAATGCAGTGGTATCATTAGAAGTTCAAAATTCATTGTTTAAATTTTGAACCAGCCTTTTGTGTTGACTTCATACCTCCTATTGTAGTCATTTGGGGCTATAATAGGATGCCTAGATCTGTTTTTATTTTAATTTTTTTCGCCCTGTCGCTTCATAGTTTTTCCTGAAAAAATCCGAGAACCAACAAATTAAATTGGTGTGGCCTAACCAACACAGTGCCAGGTTACATGTGCCAGCACTGCTGTGAAAAGTGCTGCATTCTTTCAGTAACTGAGAAATATGTCATGAGTGCTGAACTGGTATGCAATGTCGTAAAAAAAAATCAAGTAGTACATGTTTTCAAAATTTGCAAATTTTTGGCCATCAAAATGAAAAAGCTGGGCATTCACTATTACCTTGAAATAGAACTTGTGCAGTCATGGTAATATATGTGTGGCCACCAGTTTTCAATGCAAATCATTTAAGGTACCTCCATTTCCTTTATGTTACTGGTTCCATCTAATAGTATCCATTTTTGAACAGACATCACACAGAAAAGGAAAGGGAAGAAGCATTTGAAGTAAGTAAGCCTGCATTTGGTAGTGTAACATATCAGCTAGGCTATTTTGACACAATAAGGCCACACCAATTTAATTTCTTGGTTAAGGGATTTGCTGCTTCATTTTTTTCTGATTTGCAAATAAAGATAAAAATTCAGAATCAACTGCAAAATGCTCATATTTTGCCCTGAACAGTTGAAAACAGTCCTTTTCTTCGTAGTTGTTACAGTTATTCCATCTTTCAATGCAGTGGCATCATTGAAAGTTCAAAATTCATTGTTTAAATTTTGAACCAGCCTGGTGTGTTGACTTCATGGCTCCTATCGTACCATTTTGGACCATAATAGGATCCCTAGGCCTGTTTTAATTACCTCCGGGGAAGGAGATATCCTTCCGCGAGGAGGTTTTACTATTGTTCGAAACATTTCTGTCAGCAGCTGTTTCTCGCGATCGGCTGGACGGATTGGTCTGTTGATCGGTATACGTATTGCTATTGGGCTGCAGATGATGCAGAACGTTTTTGTTTAATTGCATATGTGCTTATGGGCGTCGAAATAAAAGGTTTTTAAGTGCTCCGGACACCCCCGTTATGCTGAAAATGGAATTTACCATGTTGTTAAGGAATGGGGAGGTTGCAGTTTTGGGTCTTAGCATTCAAAAGGGGTCAAACAGAGGGGTGTCTTGTTCCGATAAAAAATTTGGGTGACGGCGGGGGTAATGGCGCGGGTGACGGTGTAGGCTGTCAGACACGTTAATCAACAGTCCATACCAAACCAACCGTCAGTAGCCATCAAACACATACAAACATATTACGCACATAACTTTCATACTACACACAAACAAATAACCTAAACCAATACAATACAAAAAAAACCCGGAGGTTTGAAATCTACGATTTTCCTTGTTTTATTTTTTTTCGCCTACTCGCTCCATTATTATTCTAGAAAAATCCGTTAACCAAGAAATTAATTGGTGTGGCCTAACAGATGCAGAAGTAATAAATGTAACACATTGTTTATCCTGTTACCAAAGGCTAAGGACTTGTCACGTTTTCCTACTTTAGCATCAAAGGATTAGAATACCTGTCCTTTTTCTATTGACAGCAAATCTATGTGGCATGACTGCTTTTGAAACAAAATAAAAGGGATATCCACTGTTGTGGTGGGTGTCACAGTAACACATACAAACAGGATTCAGGGTTAATATTTGCATACCAGGAAAGCTCACAGATTCTTTGTGCTCACTCAAGATGAAATTCCATTGAGCTATATTAGATTATTTATAAGGACACACCAATTTAATTTGTTGGTTCTCGGATTTGCCTCTTCATTTTTTTTCTGATTTTCAAAAAAAAACACAAGATTCTGGTTCTAAATCAACTCAAAAAAGCTCATATTTTGCCCCCAACAGTTGAGGAGAGTCCTTTTCTTCCTAGTTGTTACAGTTTTTGTTTTCATCTATCAATGCAGTGGTTTGATTAAAAGTTCAAAATTCATTTGTTTAACTATTAACCCAGCCTTTTGTGTTGACTACATGGCTCCTTTCGTAGCATTTGGGGCTATAAAATTATAGCATGCCTATAGACCTGTTTTTATTTTTAATTTTTTCGCCCTGTCGCTTTATTTTTTTTCTGAAAAAATCCAAGAACCAACAAATTAAATTGGTGTGGCCTAAGAGAAGCTTTGAGACTTCTAACACTAGAAATATCATTATGATAATCTCATATTTTTTACATCACAAACCAAGGCTCTCTTTCATATAAGACCAAGTATAGGAATGTGAACAACCCAAAACATGCCTTGTAGTCTATAAAACTGTAATTTATTAGACATTTGGTAAATAGGCTCAGTCATGGATTATAAATCATATTCATTAGGCCATGTTGATATGACCATATGGATGACATCCTCTGGGAACCCAAAAACTGATGTGAGGACGCAAAATAACAAAAATTGTAAAAAAAAACAGTTGCCTTCATTATGAAATCTATGTAGTCATGAAGGTTGAACAAATGACTAAACACACAGAGTATGGTATGGGGAATGATAGACTATTTTTCACATTTCGTTCTTTTCCTCGGGAAATGATGTTGGCATTCTATGACATAAGTATCATTTTCCAATTTTGTTTGCAATTTACGGCATATATTTGCTAATTTTACAGCTGTACAATTTTTACAATTCACAGTAGGCCACACCAATTCAATTTGTTGTTTCTCAGATTTTTTCAGCAAAAATATGAAGCGACAGGGTGAAATAAAAAAATAAAAAACTGGCCAAGGCACCCCATGATAGCCAGAAATGTTACAATATAAGCCATGAAGTAAACATACCAGGCTGGTTTATAATTAAAACAATAGATTTTGAACTTTTAATGAAAGAAAATTACATTGTTACATGCATGGGAAGAAAAGGACTTTTTTCAACCATTGGGGACAAAATATTGAGCATTTCGCAGT